TACATATACATATATATATATATATCTATATATAGATATCTATCTATATATACACACACACATACATACATACATACATATACGACAGAAATAACCGTTATCCAAGTTACATAGTTGTTAAGGTGGAATAAAGACACAGGTCCATTGAGTTCAACCTTTGGGTTTCGTGTGCGAGTCTGTGGGGGTGATTCACTCACCCAAACACACGCACACATGAGGTGCGTGCGCATGTATACACGCCAAAACGTATTTATGAAACAAGCGCATAATTTCACACTTTCTAGCATAAGTGGCGTGTTTATATGTATTTACGCGTTGTGTAGTATGCACTATAGGCTACACGCCGTTCTAATAGCGGCGTGCACGTCTGAGGCCACATGTGAGAGAGTCATACACATAATAGGTATACAGTGCTACTTCAACTGTCTAGCAAAATAAATTACATAAAACACTTTAAAAATACTAAAACCAGTGCTCAAAAATATGTAACTTACACACCACTGATGTGTTGAGGTCTGCATGAGCCAACTGCCCATGTGTAGACGGCTGTTCACACACTTTTTACCCTCAGAAACAATAGCACACCCATTTTTTTTCCTGATTTCTTTGTGAACAGGATAAACACGCGCGACTGGTGTGAACACACTGCAGAGGTGTATACATTCCACCCAGCATGATCTATTGGTGGAATGTATATATATTGTAAGCACAATTGTTGACTATTCCTTTAATTAAAAAAAAAATGGCTCCATCTATGTAATCCTATGCAATAAAAAAAAGTCCCAGCGCACAACGACTGTCTGAACCCGACGAAAACTCGCCGCAAAATGACCTTCCTGCTGGAAAGTAAACTCCGCCCATTTGACATTCTCAGCTGTCAAATACTACATACCAATCGGGAACTCCCCAATGCCATTTGGGTCTGTAAAGCATTCAGGAGTTCCAAAATGCTTTGCCAGCCATACACCCCACACAAGCCTCTGTGCCTTGTGAGCCCTGATTGGCTAAAGCCTTGCACGTCAGGTGCAAGACTTTGCCCAATCAGGGCACAGAGAACAGTGAGAGCCATGATTGGGCACAGGCATGATGACTCTGCCCAATTATGGCTCACCCTGTTACAACTTTAAACAGTGACTGTAAACAGTAGCTGTCACTGGTAGCTCCGCCAAAATATTTATATGTTACCGGCATCTGTCACATTATTTTTTATTTAGTCGAGTCGTCATCGTTCGTGGAAAATGCTGGACATCGTGATTGACCCTGGATTCTTCCTGCACCACTCTCAGCTTCTCCCCACACGCCATCAGCTTCCCCCCACACCGCTCTTAGTTTCTCCCCACACTGTCAGCAGACATTGCTCTCTCAAGCGATCTCTCTCCTTTTCCTCACTTACCGTGTTTCCCCCGAAAGTAAGCCCTACCCCGAAAATAAAGACCTAGCACTATCTTCAGGGATTTCTGTAATATAAGACCTACCCCGAAAATAAGACCTAGTTCGGTGGTAGGTCTTATATTACAGAAATCCGCTAGGTCTTACTTTCGGGGTAGCTGCACATAAACTGTGTAAAGACCGGCCGCAGCTCCCGCCCCGCCCACACGCCAGCCGGCCGCAGCTCCTGCCCCGCCCACACGCCAGCCTACGCTAGACCTGTGCATTCAGATTCGGACAAACCTGCAGATCAACAAAAATCAGTTGATTCGATGGTGCGCCCGAATCCAAAATAACAAATGCAATATATGCCCGAATATGCTAAAACAATATTCGGCATACAATAATTCCTTTTGAGAACACGCCGGCGGCCACATTGGCCGCCAGCGTGTTCTGCGCATTCCCGCGGCCATCTTGGAGGTGGAGCATGTAACGTCACATGACGGTGACATCACACACACTGAACGCGCGGCGGCCGGGCACATTCTGCACATGCATGCCACCATTTTGGAGTAGATTTAGGATCGAGAAGTGAGCGAACGCCGTTATGTGTTCGCTCACATCCCGATCTACTGGGCCGACCTGTGACAGTTTCATTGTCACAGGTCGGCTAGAACTATGAGGTGAGTGAAAAGCACTCACCTCATAGTTCTCCTTTAATCTGCGCTTGAATAGCTTCTTTGCAGTGGAAAGGTGATACTAGGGGTAAAAACTAAAATAAAATTAATTTAAATTCGAACATGAGGACGCCGGCATCTTGGTGTATAACAAGATCTACTCCAAAATGGCAGCACGCATGCACAGAACGCCCCAGTGGCCGATATTGCCGCCGCTCGCTCTGCGTTTGTGTGCGTTTTCGAATGCCTCCAAATCCAAAACATGAAAATTTGTTTCCTTTGACGAAACAAATAAGAACGTTTTTAGTTTGCATTTGGTTCGTCTGAAAATAATTTTTTTTGTTTTGCACATCTCTACTGAAACCATGAACGTTTATTGCATCCAAAACTGTTTCAGATGGATACAACGACCCCCGTCATGTTTTACTGCTCTTAGGGCAAAAGATTTTGCCTTACTTTCATTTCTGGTGAACGCGGTTTCTTCAAACAGGAAGTGAGGGAATATGCAACAGGGACACAGACACCAATACAAAGCTCAGAGGGATTCTAGAGTTTCATTGCCTAAAATACACACACACACACACTTCTGTCTGTAGAAAGTTCCTTCACTTCTCTGCTGGTAATTAGGTTGTCATTAAGACAAGGAGAAGGACGAGAGAATGGAAATCTCTAACAGAGCTCCAGATGGCAGGAAAATCCCATCAGGAGTTCTAATATTTACTCAAGATATAAAACTAAGACAAAAGTACATACACATTAAA